GAAATTTCAACTGTTAGATCGACTCACATATACAAAGAGATTTCATCATGCACTTCAATCTCCATTTCTTGTGGAAATTTTAATATCGAAAATTGATTTTATAATCAATCAATTTACATCATGTCTTGGGAGTCAATAACATGTAATGACTTGAAATAGTTTTTCTCTAATCACTCGCTCTTACATATGTTATCCAAAAATTAAGTTATTAACATTAGTCATTTTTTATTAAATCGAATCTTTATCTCCAGCACAGCTCCTCACAAGATGATCTGATTCTTTTCCAATTAGAAATCTAATTCAGTTGCATTTTTCTAAAGGTAGCTGAATTAAACCGATGTCTTTTGTTTCGTGCAAGTATCATATTAGCCATTTCATTTAAAAATTAAAATTATTAAAGAGTAACTATGTGTATTTATATAGATTAATTATTTTATTATACGCCACCATTTATTATATTTTAAAAAAGGTTCACGTGATTCTTAAGAATACCTCTAGGCCAAGTTTGCCTATTCCCAAATGAAGACGAAACATATAAAAATGTGCACATTGTGTTGATCAAGTCGGCTTTACCTATTTGAATCTAAAATGTAACAATATTCGTACAAAATTCAGATCCAAAATTCTAAAACACCTAAAAATCCAATACATTTTTCCCCCAAAAAAAAAAAAAAAAAAAAAAAAAAACAACACACACACACAACCTTGGCTCATCTCATGTAGGGGAACCGCTCATGTCTCCTACAGTTTTTGTATTTTTTCTCTATTAAAAATTACATTTCTTTTTGTTGAATCATAGGCGAGTTTGAACGGGAAAATCCAACTCGAATCGTCCTTGATTTGCCTTGAGTACGAATCGTTCAATATCTCGTCCCACTTGACATCCCTAAAATTATTCTCAGCAGACCTAGCGTCCTAGCCTAGTCCAAGACTACATCTTCCTATCCTCATCTAACTTGGTGGATTGGGTGGCCAAATTTTCAAAAGTTCTTTTATTTATTTTTTTCCACCCAAGAATTATTATTTTGGATAGATAGCTAATGGACCACAAAATTTGCATACTGAAGTTCATTTTGCTAAGCTAGAAATATACATAACGAGGTCTAGTAATCTTGGAAATCGTTTGTTCGACCTAACACGATATTTGTCATCGATCCCTTTCTTATAATGCTTGAAGAAAAATATTTCCAAAGTTCAACAATAATGTCTATTTTTTATTTTAAAATATTCCTATAAGTTAGACAAAATTTAAAAAATAAATTATGACATAAAGTTTATCAATCGATTTTGTTTAATCCTATCCCATTGAATGTACCAATCATATCATAAGGACAACAATGTATTTACAAATGAAGATGAAAAGGACTAAAATCATTGCTTGGCTATGAATAAGATCAAAATCTTTGTGGGACATGATTTATTACAAGACCACACACAATAATAAGATGCTCAAATATCGTGGGGTTGAAAATTAATGTGTAAAGAAAGAGGCAAAGTTGGACCCTACGAGGCCGACAAGGTTATGAGCTGTATCTTTTGTTTTTTTAGTCATTATTTGAGAGGTTCTCCTTCCTTGTACATCGATCTTTTCAACCTAAAAAAGAAAGATGCTTTGATTCTGTAAGCATTTCTTTATGTTATCAAGTTTCAATCTAATTAGTGCACTCAATCACGTATTATTGGCAACATGATGGGGTTGATTTTCTCTTTTGGTTTGACTTTTGGTCGGAAGGAAGGGCCAAGGAAAGGGACGAGTAGGCAAATTTATTTTGTATAAAGGAGTTGTGAACCTCGGAGAAGTTTCTTGGTGGGTGTAATATTGATATGGAAATGTGGATCGATGTTTTTAATTAAACGTGGAGCATTTTGGAAATTAGGCGACTACGTGTCAACTCACGTGATTAATGAAGTTTTAGACATTTTCGATAATTTACTTTAGTCTCAAGCAAGTGATCTTAAAGCAAGTTTAACAATTTTACGATGTTTCTATTTTGACTATAATGTTATTGTAGAGGAAGTGGAAGGGCCGATCGCTCTTTCTACGTTGATAACATTTTTTTCTCATTTTTTTCCTACATCAATAACATTAAACAACAATAAGTACAGTGTTCAAGATTAATGTTATTCATGTAGAATCTAGATTATCATCAATTAACGTGACAAGAGGATCACTACTTTCATGTAAAATTTAGATGATCATCAGTTTATATGATAATAGGGCTACTATCATATTATTTAATATTTAAAAATGCAATGACCTCACTACCATATAGATTTAATTGTTGCATTGTTCTAAGTATAAATATATGATCATACTTTCACACAAATTGATTATCATCCAGATTCTTGATGAGTAACATTAATTTTTTTCAGACATTAAACATAGCTCCACAGAGGGGTAGATGAAAGGGATGACTGGACCGGGCTGTATAGGTTTAGGCCCTAGCCCATCTCCATTTCCAAAGTCCAAACCTCTCTCTCTCTCTCTCTCTCTCTCTCTCTCTCTCCTGTAATTTCTGCTTTTGTCAATAGTTTGTCCTTTTTTATTTTTTTACCATTTAGTTGTAGAGTGATTGAGGGTTAATTATTATGTTTAAATTTTATTTACTGCGTTGAAAAATTGTAAAGAAGATCATTGTATTTGTATGGTTACGCAGTCAAATAATAGAAAAATAATATTAAAAGTTGACTAAAAAATCGCGAATAATATTTTGACAATCTGTATTTATCTAGCATGTATAAAATTGGCATAGATATGGGTATATAAAAGGTCACCGTGGGCTGTAGAAAAATGTAGAATTCTTGTTTTTCTTTGAGTTTGTCATTATGTTACTACACATTTAGTAATTATTCTTAGGCAAAATGATTTTGTATGAAGGAGTTGTGAAACTCGAAGAAGTTTCTAGGTGGGTGTAATTTGATATGAAAATGTGTATTGTTGTTTTTTATTAAACGTGTAGCTTTGTGGAATTAGGCGTATTTGTGTCAACTCACGTGATTAATGAAGTTTTAGACATTTTTCGATATTTTACTTTAACCTTAAACAAGTGATCTTAAAGTAAGTTTAACAATTTTCCGATATTTCTATTTTGACAAGTGTTATTGTAGAGGAAGTGGAAGGGCCAACCACTCTTTCTACATCGATAACCTTTTTTCCACATTTTCTACATCGATAACATCAAACAACAATACTACAATGTTTAGGATTAATGCTATTCATGTAGAATCTAGATGATCATCAATTTATATAACAATGGGATCACTACCATCCTGTGAAATTTAGATGATCATTTGCCTATGTGAGAGTGGGTTCACTATCACATTATTTAATATATGAAAAAATGCAATGACCTCACTACCACATATTTAATTGTTGCATTGTTCTATGTATCAAAATATGATCATACTTTCATATAAATTGATTACCATCTAGATTCTTGATGAATAAGTAGGTCTCGACGCGGTTTGGTTTAGGTTGGTTTTGACTCCAACCCGAAATCAAAATCAAATAAGGCGATTTGGATGAATTTCAACCCAAATCAATCCACTCTAGCTCTTAAATTAAACCAAACCAAATCAGTTTGGTTTGGTTTTGTTCGGTTTGGACTTTTAGTTCAAATTATTTTTTTTTTTCAAAAAAAATTGT